ACCTGCCAGCCTGCGGTGAGGCGACCCTGGCCCTTGGGGCTCGCGGCATGGCGCGGGGGAGCGGGTGGCACTGAGCGAGCCTTTCCGACTGACCCTCGGCAGCCGCTGCAGCCGGCCGGCCTCTGAAAGGCCCGGCGCCGGCCCTGCACTCGCCTTGTTTTGCGGCCACGACGCAGGGCTGTTCTGGGAGCCACAACAATGCCATGATGTTTTGGAGACAGGAAGCCCCAAGCTGGCCGCGAATGAAGGACTTCCTGTGTTTAAAGTTGCAGGAATATCCGCCGACCAGCTCAGTTCAAATGCAAACACCCGAACTAGGGAGGACGAATGGCTAATTCAGACCAGCTGGGCTCCTCAGGGCTGGAACTAAGGGTAAAATGAAAGGAATTCTTAGGAGCTTGGGCCATACTTGAAGACCAGAGGGGCTGTGCCATTGTTACTAAAGGACACAATCGATATTAATCCTCTGTTTCCAACTCTGCTCGGGTGAGAAGTGAGTGGAACTAGATATTGAATAAGACTTGTCAATATGAGGTGATTTTTTTAAACTGACTGAATTAGAAAAAACAGTGCTCTTTAAAAAAAAAAGCCATACGAAGAATTATTTTGCTTGTTGATTACGCTATACCATTTATCTGTCTGCAACTATGAGGCTGCTAACCTGTGAGGAAGAAGCTGTTCCTCTTAGAGCTTCTCCCAGAATGATTTCAAAGTGGGACTTCCAGGCCTTTCTGGAGGGAAGATCCAGTTGGTGGTTTGAAGTTATGAACATGTAAAAGGATTTTTAACTTATGCAGAATGCATTTTGGGGGAACCTGTGAAAAACTTTTAAAAAGTTGATCTTTCATCTTGATTGAAAAAGTATGGGTAAGCCACTCAGCAGGCCGGACTGTTTAAGGCAGAACCCCACCTGCCTGGGGAAAGGAGAGGAAGAGGATGGCTATATCGAGGATTGCTATGTTCCGCAGAGATCTATATATGATACAATGAGGATCAATGAACAAATTGACCAGGGGTCAAAGCTTAATCAGACTTCGAAAAGCACCATGGAAAAGATGGAAGGAAGTACTATATCCAGCAATGGTACGTTAGGAGCAGCATCTAATGTATTTGAATCTAGAGCACCAGAAGGCAAAAAGTTGGATGAGAGAATAATATTTGATGCACTAAAGCTAAGCAGTGATGTGCAGAAGTCAGCACCTGTGCCACCCAGGAGGCGGCCAAATGCAGAACGCAAAGACAATGTTAACAGGAGATCATGGAAGTCCTTTATGCCACCCAATTTCCCAGAATTTGCAGAAAGAATGGAAGCTTCTCTCAGTGAAGTTTCTGAAGCTGGTGCTTCAAATCCTTCCTTGCAAGAGAAGAAGGAGTCAAGTTCTGCATTAACAGAAAGTTCTGGTCATTTGGACCACAGGGAACCTCAGTCAGAGTCAGTAACTCTGGAACACATGTCCAGATCCATAGGTATTCCAGAAGTGCAGGATGTGAAAAATTTAGGTGGAGGCTGCCAAGACTTCAGATTTCAGCAGCACAGTGAGAGCTCTCCCCGTGAATTCCAGCCTCTAGAATCAGAAGCTGTAGCAGCAAGTGGTAACACAGATGTAATGCAGGAACACAGATTCTCAAGTGCAACCTGGCCCAGAGCCATGAAAAGTTTGACTAAGGGAAGCTTTAGCGAGAAGCAGCACCCTCTTGGGGACACAGCTTGCACTGTAGAAATGCCACCTCTCTCCCCTTGCCTTAGTGAGGAACTGTTGGATCCAGAATTGCATATTCTCATAACCCCCAGCCTGAGAGAGAAAACAGAGTCTGAGCTAAAGTTTGAGGAGGATGAGCGATGGATCATGATGGAGGCTGAGGAGGAGTGGGAGGAAGAGAAACTATCAGAGAGAGGAAAGACTTTTCTAATGGCAGATGAGGAAAAGAACAGCTTGGCAGATATTTTCAGAGAAAGAGAACCAGCAAACCCTGTAGCAGTGGTGGAGGATGAAGCCGATAGTTCACCTGCTGTCTTGGGGGCTTTTGACCACCTAGCTCTTGGTCAGATCTGTTGCTCTGATGAACCGCAGTCATCTACGAACTGTTTGGCTTCTGTTCTCAAGGATGCACCTCTTGATTACAGTCGTATTCTAACAGGTGAGAATGCTGTCGGAGAGCTGAGAAACAGAACTGGTCACGGGCTAGAGGGCCTTGGTTTGGATTTAGAATGCACTGTTGATCCTGCTGATTCAGAGCAGCTCTCTGACACAGATTCAGTGCAGATGTTTCTTGAACTTGAAAAGGAGTGTTTATATGAAGAAGGAGTAACTCCTCTAGTTGAGCTGGAGAATCAAACCTCTTCTGAAGGGCTGGCCCCATCCCAGGATGCAGAAAATTCACTTGTAATTACTCATTTTCCAGGGGCTGCCCTAGAAAAGGAACATGTAGGTCTTTTAAATGTAGGGGCAAAGGACTCTGATCCTGGGTTGGATGGTGAATATTTTCATGCCCTGAATTCTTCTCAGGTGCCTAATGCTGTGGAGCTTGCTGCCTACTCTGATACCGTGAGGGATGCTTCCACTGTTTGTGAGAAGGAGGGTGAAAAAGTGCCTTTTAGCCCCCAAACTGCAGGGGAATTTAAGTTTAGAGACCCAGCTGATCTGGAGTCACCGGGAAAGCCAGACCCAGGAGGATTGGCCAACTCTGATCATAGGGCTTCTCATGAAGAAAACATATTAGGCTTCAAAGCCGAGCTGGCCAAAGAAAATGGCAGTTTGTCCCAAGTGGACTGTAGTGAAGTTGAGAGGGATGCTGAGGAGTGTGTGGAGAGGGCCCCCCTCAGTTCTGCCATTAGCAGTGAACTAACAGGTGTTACCTCAGGATCTGAAGTAGACGTGTTGTATGATTCGCATTTACTAACAGATAAGAGTCATTTGGAAGGTAAGAAAAGAGCTATTAATCAAGACAGTAACAGTCTGACTTCCTTGGGAGATGTGGACCCTTGTGAACTGTTGTTCATGGAAGGAGTTTGTGATGAGGATGGAGAAGCACGGGCGCTGGGTTATGAAGCCAGGCTGGAGGCCCCTGCCTCAGCACATCTTCATCAAGGCCTCCCAGAGTCAGAGGTCCTGAGTCTGCACCTGCTGGTTGGAGGACTGGGACATAGTAGAGATGGAGTGGAAGCTGTGAATAATGCAAAGCCCAAGTGGAATGTGGCCTCCTTGGAGGGAGGGGAGACAGAAATGAAAGACTCAGATCCATTGCTAGGTATCTCCCTGGAGGAACAAGTTACCAAGGCTAGTACCTCGGAACCAGTTTTGGAGGAATGGGTACCCATCCCACAGAAGCCTGCCCCAGCTGCTGCGGTGCCCACTGTAGAAGACGATGCCCTAGATGCTGCAGTGCCTGCCCCGGAGGGAACTGCTGTGGCTGCTATTACAGTGCCCTTCCCAGAGGAGGACGTACCAGTTGTTTCAGGAGCCACCATAGAGGCACATGTCTCAGCTGTTTCAGTGGTCACTGTGGAGGATGCCCCAGCTGCTGCCGTATCAGCCACAGAGAGGGCTGCTGCCCCAGCTGTTGCAGTGCCTGCTCCTGAGGGGACTGCTCCAGCTGCTGCAGTGGCCGTCACAGGGGAGGATATGCTAGCTGTTGCAGAGTCCTTCCCAGAGGGAACTGCTCTGGCTGCTGCAGTGGCCATCACCCAGGATGATGTCCCAGAGAGGCCTGTCACCCCAGCTGTGGCAGTGCCTGCTCCAGGGGAGCCTGATACCCCAACTGTTAGAGTGCTTATCCCAGAGGGGCCTGCAGCCCCAGCTACTGCATTGCCCACCCTGGGGGAGCCTGTCACCCCAGCTACTGCACTACCCATCCCAGGGGAGACTGCAGCGCCAGCTGCTGCCGTGCCCACTCTGGGGGAGCTTGCCACCCTAGCTACTGCCTTGCCCACTGCAGGGGAGCCTGCAACCCCAGCTAGTGCATTGCCCACCATGGGGGATCTTGATACCCCAGCTGCTGCATTGCCCACCCCAGGGAAGACTGCAGCGCCAGCTGCTGCAGTGCCCATTCTGGGGGAGCCTGCCGCCCTAGCTACTGCATTGCCCACCACAGGGGAGCCTGCTGCCCCAGCTACTGCATTGCCCACCCTGGGGGAGCCTGATAACCCAGCTGCTGCATTGCCCACCCCAGGGGAGCCTGCAGCCCCAGCTGCTGCAGTGCCCACCCTGGGGGAGCCTGCAGCCCCAGCTAGTGTGGTGCCCACCCCAGGGGAGCCTGCAGCCCCAGCTGCTGCAGTGCCCACCCCAGGGGAGCCTGCAGCCCCAGCTAGTGCGGTGCCTACCCCAGGAGAGCCTGCAGCCCTAACTAGTGTGGTGCCCACCCCAGGGGAACCTGCAGCCCCAGCTAGTGTGATGCTCACCCCAGGGCAGCATGCAGCCCCAGCTGCTGCGGTGTCCACCCCAGGGGAGCCTGCAGCCCCAGCTGCTGCGGTGCCTACCCCAGGGGAGCCTGCAACCCCAGCTAGTGTGGTGCCCACCCCAGGGGAGCCTGTAGCCCCAGCTGCTGCGGGGCCCATCCCAGGGGAGCCTGCAGCCCCAGCTAGTGTGATGCTCACCCCAGGGCAGCATGCAGCCCCAGCTGCTGCGGTGCCCACCCCAGGGGAGCCTGCAGCCCCAGCTGCTGCAGTGCCTACCCCAGGGGAACCTGCAACCCCAGCTAGTGTGGTGCCCACCCCAGGGGAGCCTGTAGCCCCAGCTGCTGCGGGGCCCATCCCAGGGGAGCCTGCAGCCCCAGCTAGTGTGGTGCCCACCCCAGGGCAGCATGCAGCCCCAGCTGCTGCGGTGCCCACCCCAGGGGAGCCTGCAGCCCCAGGTAGTGCGTTGCCCACCCCAGGGGAGCATGCAGCCCCAGGCTGCTGCGGTGCCTACCCCAGGGGTAACCTGCAACCCCAGTAGTGTGGTGCCCACCCCAGGGGAGCCTGTAGCCCCAGCTAGTGTGGTGCCCACCCCAGGGCAGCATGCAGCCCCAGCTGCTGCGGTGCCCACCCCAGGGGAGCCTGCAGCCCCAGGTAGTGCGTTGCCCACCCCAGGGGAGCATGCAGCCCCAGCTGCTGCAGTGATTGCTGTGGAGGAAGTATTCTCTGCTGGCGGACCCTTTCTGGGATATACCACCCACACTGATTCAGTGCCTATCTCAGAAGAAGAGACTCCTGTTCTAGAGGAGGCTTCCCCCACTGGAATGTGGATCAAGGAGGACCTTGATTCCCCAGCATTTGGAATAAAAGAGGTGACTGGCACTGAGCTGCATGAGAAAATGCCTCTGGCTGCAATTGATGGATTAAATTCAAATGAGGTAATTGTTGCTCATTTTGTTGGGGAAGGATCGGGAGAGTAAAGTGAGATTTGCAAATTCTCTTGATGGTGATTAGAAAGGGCACAAATAGTTTTTTCTTTCGTTCTCTTTTGGGATGCCTGGTCTTTTTATTGAATTTATGGGGAGAATGCACTTTCATCTGGTGAAAAACTTTATAATTCAAACTCTTTTTTTTTTTAATTCAGACATAAGCAAAGCCCAGGGAAAAGAAGATTATCAGCAGGAAAGGATGATTCTGCTTTTGAAATTTATAGTACGCATGTTCTTTCCTAAATCAGGAGGCTGTTTATTCTTTGGTGATGTCAGCAGTCAGGTAGGGGCTAGAATGTGGGCTTTGGAGTGAGACCTAGGATACTACTTAACTACTCTGGGAAAATTAGTTCAATGTCCTAAGTCTCCAGTTTGCTCATTTGTTAAGGTAGAAGAACCCTGTGAGGCTTGTGAGGATAAAATGAGATAATCCATTCAGAGCACCAAGTGAATACAATTTCAGTTACTGTCAGTATCCTCCCCCTTGCCCTTTCAAATAGATATATTGGTTAGCTGAAAGGATTTACCAAAGAAGGTTGGGTGAAAGGCATATATAGATGTGTAAATAACAGCTTTTTAATTCAAATGTGTGTTTTTTAAAGCTGAATTAAGACGCAATAATGTTTATGAAAATAGAGGTTAATTTTAGTCATCTTGTCAAAATTTGTGTCCAGAAGCACTTTTCCTTTCCTGGAACTCTTGTTTCTTAATCTATAAAATAAGGGAATTGGGCTGATGTCCTGCTGAATCTTCCTTAGCAACCAGATTTTGAGATTCCTAATCTTAGAGAAAAGAATGTATTAAGAAACTTGAAAACAGTGTTCACATCCTTGAGCACTCCTAGTCAAAGAACTTTGAGATTGGCAGCTTTCTACAGTTCACTGTGCCAGTGTCCTTTGGTCCGTGGTAAGGAGGGAAGGAGTTAGAAATACGATCTCATCCAATACAGTCGGGGATTGCTGTGTGTGGAAGTGGTTTTGATTTTACACCATCCTCAGGACCCAGAACAGTGCCTTCCTCCTAGTAGGCATTCCCTGCTGACTGAATGGATGAATGTAAATCTGGATATCCATGGATGGTGCAAGAGTGATGGGTTCTTTCATCCACCCTGTACAGGACCTTTCGGGGCAGCCTTAGTAAGCCAGATGACCAATTAAACATGCACAAAAAATCATTTTGATTGTAGACCATCTTAAGTCTACTTTGCCACAGATCCTCCTGCTTAGCTGAGCGGTAGTGGTGTCACCTGGGCTTCACCAGTTATTTGGGAATGCATCAAATGGGAAATGCATCAAATGGGAATGCATCACCTTTCAGATCGGTGGATTTGATGCAGTTTTCTGAGTTTTATTCAATTTGGGATTGACACTGAGATCCCAGTGACTGTCCAAAGCCACCGACTTTTTTTTTTCAGTTGAAGTATAGTCAATTTACCATGTTGTATAGTATTCTTGATTACACAGAATATTTCTAGTATAAAGCCTGTAGCCATAACCAATGAAATATAGGGATTACATTATAAGGAGCCAGTCAAATCTGGAAAAATATTCAGAGAAACCCTTAATATCAGTCTGTGGATCTCTGTTTCCCCATCTACAAAATGGGTAGATGAGGCTAGATAATCTCTAAGGGTTTTGTTTTTTTTTTTTCTGCTGAGGATCTCTTTATTTCCATCTCGGTCTCCAGTGCAATCTCCCCCTCCTGCCTCTGAGGCTCCAGGCCCCAAGCTCAGCAGCAGAGTGTTTATAAATAAATAAGTTACAAAAGTGGGTGAGGGAGCAGCCCAGACAGCCTCCCAGGGACCTGGGGCTCAGTGCTCCATGAGCAAGAGCCACAGATTCTGCTGAAAGTCTTCCTTCTCCTGCTGCCCTGGCTGCTCCCCTACAGGAGACAGTCATTTTATGAAATACTGCCTGATATAAATGACAGGAGAAAGAAATAGTAACCCAGCTGCAACGTTGTTCGTCATCTTGGAAGTGTGGTTACTTTATGGACTATCTGGAAATAAGCAGATATTTACATTTGTGTACAAAGCCTTAGCCCCAGCCAGGACTGTTAACCAATAAGAATGCAGAGCGCATATTTTGGAAATATATATTGAAACAAAACAAGTACTATTACAGAGGTAACATGAGTATACAGATTGTGTTAAATTGATGAAATATTGAGAAAAAAGTTTTTCCGAGATGAGAGATGTACGGATTTCGTTTCTTTCAAGAGTTCCTAGAGGCAATTGAACATGTCATTTTTTTTTTTTACATATAAACACTTAGAACTTGATAGGTGATCATACCTGGGCTTTGATCTGACTGCTTTAGATCCTCTGTGTTTGTACAGATGTTCCCAGGTATACATGGTTAAAATAGATATAAGCTCTCTAATAGCAGTAACAATTTTAGGTAGAAGAAACAAAATGCCAGAATTTGTTTGCTATTTCTGTAGTGGGATCCTAGGCCCACTAAGAACAATTGGTGGTTATTTAAGCCCTCTTCTCATTTATAGACCGCTTTAGTCTTATTTCCAGTCACTGCTTCAGTGGAAGAAAAAAAACCTTTTGTATAAAATAGGAGTTCTATAAATTAAAATTTGCCAAGAAATTCTTTTTAAGCAAAAATTGGGGAGCCTTTCTGTCTCAGTTCAGTGTTTGAATACTCAGCTGATCAGCAGAACCTTCATGGATTTATTTGCTTTCTCTAACACCATTTCCGTATAAGGATTCATTCATTTCCTGGATAAATATTTATTGTGTACCTACTCTGTGCCAGGTATTGGGGCTTCTGCTGTGAATAGAATTGGCATGATCTCTGCCCTGCTGGAACTTGTACTATAGTAGAGGGGGCAGCCATTAAGCAAAAATGACACAAATATATAGTTACATATTGTGGCAAATGCTTTGAATAAAAAACAAAGTCTATGATAAGAAACAGTAGGGGTATTTAATTTCAATTGTGGTGTCAGGGAAAGGATTTCAAAACTAAAACCTGACGGATAAATAGAAATTACTTAGGAAGAGTTAGAGGGAAGAGCATTCCAGACAAAGGAAATGGAAACTGAGAAGAGCTTGGCATGTTGGAACTCAAAGAAAGCCAAGTGGCTAGACCACAGCGAGCAAGGGCTCAAGAAGAGTGCCTTGCAGTAAACCTGGAGAGGCAGGAAGGGCCAGATGAAGCAAGGGCTAAGAAAGAAGGCCTCAAAAGGATCTATACTCTAAAAGCCATAAGAAGCTACTGAAAGATTTCCACATAGGGGAATGAAATGATTTCATTTACATTTTTAAAAGATGACTCTCAGCTTGAAGACAGAGGAAACCGGTCCACACTGACAGTACACGTTCTCAACAGTATTTATGAATGTTTTATAAATGTCATTATTTCTTTTGTCTTATATTTTGTTAGTTTGTATTATGATAATTGACATGGAATACAGAAAACACAGACTGGTTTGCAATTTTTAAAAATTTCACTCTGGCTGCTATGTGTAGAATGGGTTATAGGGGATCATGGACAGAGTAGAGAGGCCTGCTAGATTGTTGCAATTGTCCGGATGGCTTGAACTAGAGAGATGTCAGTGGAATTGAAGACAACTGGATGGATCCAGGATACATCTTGGAGACTCAATAAAACCTGATAATGGCTTTCATATTGGGAGGGAGTGACGGGAATTATCAAGGATGGCTTCTGGGTTCTGGTGTGCACAACTTGAGTGGATGGGTGTTGGAGGACAGAGGGAACAAAAAGTGCCCAATGAACTAAGAAGGCATCTTGAGACCAAAAAAACGAGGCAGGCAGCTCCATGTAATCAGTGGATCAGTTTATTATAGTACGGTAACTTACTCTCAGGGTAGATCAGGTGGACAGTAATACAGAAGCATTCGAAATTGCACTCCACACAGCCAAGGAGCCACTGGGACAGTTTTATAGTTGACCTAGGATATGAGGGTAGGTGCTTAGAAACAGGACATGCGTTCCTAAGTCAAGATTTATTAGTGGGTAACTAGTCTCATGGGTGCTGGGGATATATGTTAGTGAAGGTTTTCATCAGTTTGGGGACTAACAACATAGAGGTTACCTGGTTCTAATGATTATTAAACAGTGTCTGTTAACTACAAAGCCCTTGATGACAGAGAACTGATTTACTGTACAGTCCTGGGTAGGGTCAGCAGAAGGACAGGAGAAACTGTAAGAGCCCAAGGTAGCATCAGTTACGCTAACAGCCACACAAAGGGGGCTGTGGTAAATTGTTTAGGGAAGAACAGGTTTGAGGGGAGAGGAAATTAAGAGGTGTACCTTTCAATATCAGAATGGTGAGGTTCAAGATGCCTGTGATTCATTTGTACAGCAGTATTAAGAAAGTAGTTGGATATATAGATTTGAAATTCAGGAGATATATATAAATTTTAGGGTCATAAGCATTTATCATCGTAAATGTTTAAAGCCATAGGAATGGACAGAATTACCTAAAGGAGACTGTAGAATGAGAAGAGGACCCAGGACTGACATCCTGCCCTTATTTATTCCTACCCCCAAAGACTAACACTTGGAGATCTAGAAGAGAAAGGGCGACAGCAAAGGACATCAAAAGAGGATCATTCAGAATGAGAACTGGGAGAATGTGGTATTACCAAAGATAAAAGTGTCTTAAAAAGTTCTTTGGGAAATTTTCTGCTTTATGTCCCTGTTGCATCTTACAGCCTTGCAA